AATTGTGCTTTATGATCGCTAGGTGAGGCTATTTGTGGTGAACATAAGAATTTGATGTTCAATTATAAATCCAAAAGACATGCAATACTTTATCGAAACATCGTCGATATAAACTCTTCGACATTATCCAGTCTCTCGAACTTTATGGGATAAGTATGGTGGTGAACCTTAATCGGCTAAGAGGTTTAGCAGCAATGTGTGTGGACAAACATGTAACCAGTTTGTCGATTCATCAACCAAAACCATAAGTATTTATATGGTCCGCATTTTGGTTGGATTAGTCCACATATATTCCCTTAAATCCACTGTCAAAAGAGGGTCGTTTCATATCTTTGCAAGGGATGATTAGAAAATCAATTTCCCTAATGAGCAGGCTTAGCAAGGTGTGCTTAGAGGCACAAGATCCTTACTTCAGGTAAGGAAATGCATTGTAGTATCATTGTTCAACCTAAGTGTCCTAAAAGGTCATGCCAAAATAAGTAAACTGGTTAATCACCAGGCTCCAAGCCAGCCACATGTGATGTGTTCCCAGTTAAGAGACAACCCATTGGCCCTAAATCAAAGCTTCACGCTCATTTTTGGAGGTGGTGCAAAGATGCTTCACTCTATTTTTGTCAGTGGTTTCATTCATGATCATTGTCATCTCGAGTATCCTTTAAAACTCAACGACATGGACAATTTAAGGTCCCTTAAATGGTAATTCAGTACCATTTATACAACGAGAGGCGTGCCAATGCTCTTAATTAGGTTGGATAAACCTGAAGTCGTTGTTAGAGATGTGATTTAGGTGTAAAATTAGTGTGCTTAGTCTCGCATTCATCCAGACAACTAACTTTCTCACATTTTTACCTAATCGCGTGTTTAATTGAATTCGGTCACATGTATACAAGAAACATGATTCAATTAACTCATATTCGAGGACAATATCAATAAGATTATCCATAAGTAAAACAAACACTAAAAGTGAATCCAAGAACATGGAAAAATGTTCACAAAGTAAATGGTTTACGAAGGGGATTCGGCCAAGAATGCCATTCATGTCAAAATTCTGCTCTTCCAAGAATGTTTGGTGTAGCACAATTAGTCTCATGTATTGACTACGAGAATGGTACTCCTTAACGACATTGTATGGGCACGAATAAGTGCATAACCAATTATCTATTTCATTGAGACGGAAGTAGATTCTGCAAGGTTAAGGCTTGGGAATACTATTATTTCTTCTTGAAGTTTTAGGTCTTAGGTGCCAAAGATCATGCTTTGGGCATAATGCCACACCTTGGCAGGCCCTGATTCTACCATTTGCTATAAAAACAAACTCAAAATTGGATTATGAGAGAGACAGACCCCGGATTGGGTTCGGTAGGCTGAAGCTGAAGGAGTCTATTTGGTAGGCTTCTGCCAAAGTAGAGTAGTACCATTCGGTGCACCTCTACCGAAGCAGAGCATGCCCTTTGGTACATCTCTCCGAAATAGGGCATCACCATTTGGTAAGCTCTGACCGAACTGGGTCGAGCTATTCGGTAGACTCCAGCCTAACTGAGTCTATACCATTCGGTAGACTTCAACCGAACTGGGTATATACCTTTCTCTCACGTTTGTCGTAGTAGTCAGATCCGAGAATTTGGTAAACTTCCGTTTTTTCACTGCTGCTTCAGAAGCGAGTTTGAAACATGGAAGGACGAGAAAAATATTCTACAGTCAAAATTCAATTGGATTTATAAACTTTAGAATCGTACTCATTCATAAACATAATCATGATGTGCTTCAGGCAATGTCTTATATGATTAGACAGTCTGTAGGAACAAGCCAAAGAGCCATGGAATCCTTGTTCGAGAGGTACTTCCGTTTATAATGCTTCAAATGAAGATCATGGTGGAGGTTTATTCAGCTCTTCCATGCCATTGTTGGCTACAATGGTTTCTCAGCTTCTTGATAGTCAAGTGGAGATTCACGTCTTGTACCCCACATAAAATGGTTTCCATTAGAAACGTCCAAATAAGGGAAATCGAACTCGTGATGGTTCGACAATCCATTGAGTTAGAGGGAACAACATTGTGATTGGTGCTATGGAAATGAATCATCCATAAGCACCAAAGTTAGAACATTCGAGTTCTAAGACATGGTTTTCATGAAAAACGTCGGGCTTTCATGGGTGTATTTGTTTTATGAAAACTTCGAGTTTCAAAGGCACTAAATTTGAAACTACAGGTTCAATTTGGTTTATGAACATTTAGTCATAAAAAAGAGGTTTCTGCAAGAACACAGAATGCAATATGCTGATTTAAGTGTAGTGGATTTGAGTTGCTTCGGGAACTTAAGTGTGAGCGCTTCGGGACTACGAAAGTGAGTCAATGGTTCAAAGGAAATAAATAAAATATTGAATCGTTAATGGCCAAAAGTGATCTTCAAGTCAATAATTTTGGATATCTTGTCAGATTAAGGGACTACAGGTCATTTTTAATTAATTCAATAGATCGGGACCATTCGGGGTCGATTGTAGAAGCAAAAATAATGACTACGGATGATATTCACTTTAGATGGCTTCGGGCCAAATAATTAAGAAAATATAGCCTAGTGTGACTTTAACCAAAAACGTCAAAAGAAAAATTTGGGTATGGTTATGAAGCGAGAATGCTAAAAAAGAGGATACTGGATTAAAAAAAAAAAAAAATCACAGCTCAACACGTGTAGGCTGATTGTGTGAAGCACGGCCTTGCAGCAACCTACAGGCCTTGGTTTACATAACATGGCTGCACAGCAGCCCGTAAAAGCACGCAAGTTGTAGACTTGCAGCAAAGGAAAATAAGCCCAATAGGGCTGTGAAGGAAAGACACCTCAACCTTAGTTAGATGTGGGTCGAGTGCGCAAGAAAAGCCTAGCTGCGCTAGCTTGGTTTTGGCATAGGCCGCAGTGTGATAGGCCTAGCGAGAAAAATTGCTGGTATGTGGGCCAAAAGTTGCAAGCCTTCAGTAAGGAGCCCATGCATATGCCTGATTCTCACACACATGCAGCAAACCCAAAAAGGCTGCTGCCTCACGGTTCCAGCGTCCAAGCCTCGAGCTGCAGGCTCAACTTAGGGTAAGGTTAGTGTGGTGGCGTGGCTCCAGGCCGCGGCTCAGCCGTAGATTTCCCAAATTTGAATTTCCTCTTTTTATTTTTTCAAATTCTAAGGTTTGTAAAAAGAACCAAAATTGCTTCTATTTTCTTTCAATTCGTTGACTCACAAATTCCACATAGCGATTTTATAATTGCGTAATGCATGAATGTATGTATATATATTGACAAATATATGAAACATATGTAATATATATCGGAAGGTAAATATAAATGTAGGGGGTTTATGCATCATGGGGAATATTTTCATGCTTCATGGTCTTTTCAAATATCTTCTTTTATTTTAAGCATACCTGATTGGCAGAAAACAACAAAAGCCTTAGAATTTGTAGAAGATCCTTCTCGAAAAGCCGGAATTGCATCTCCAGTGCATTGTATCACGTTCAACATAGAAAGATTAAATTGAATCAATAGCATGTAGATCAATTTAATAAAATAATAAATTAATAATAAAAAGAATGTTTAAAATGTAATACTCTCCTAATTGAAGATCAAACTCTCTTTAGCATAGCGTCAAGAACGTGTTGTAAGCATAATTTACTAAACAATTATGAAGGCCATAAAGAGAGGGGTGCGACAATAGTAGATAGAAGAGAAAGATGTGTAATTGTGAGGTATGTTCTATTCCACCCCATTGTGCCTTTATTTATAGTAGTAGGATAAGTAAAATCCTTACTCTTTTAGAATTACAACTCTTCATAGGTAATCAACTCCTAATAGGAAGATAAGATATATTCCTAGATCCACTAGGATTTAAACAATCACATTCCTAATCTAATACGAGTGCAACATTATGAGACTTTTAAATAAAGAATTGATAAAATTATATTTAAGACTTATCATGTGGCGAGATTTGATTGAATTTTAATGTTACTCAGCAAATCTAGTGGCAAGCAAAGCCCTACACAACTTTTCCACATCAATAGAAAATAAACACGTTAATCAATACTTAAATAATAATTTAATTGCCACTTAGTACTACGATCTAGTAGTATTCTTCTTTACTTGTAAGTAAAAAATTTTAAATTCGATTCTCGTTAAAAGAAAATTTAAACCACGGATTTCGTTTGCTATTCAACATCACACATTTTGAAATTTTTTGGTCAAACGAAATCCATGCTTGTGACGTTGCATTGATCCTGCATCTTTTGTTTATTCTTGCAAAATCCCGACTTATGTGCCGGGGTGGCCCTTGCCCTTTTGATCAATTCAAAATGTATCATATCCTTCAATTATCTAGAAGGAAAACTGCTATTTGTCTTCGATCTGATAACACGAAATGTGCTTACAGCATACGTCAAGGAGATTAATAAAAGAGAATAAAATAAAATGTGTACACCGTAATTATGTGAGATACTGGGACCTTCAATTTGTTGTATAATGGGGTGTTTGATGCAGAAAGAAAAAACAACAATTGTAGTCTTGGTAGACTGCAGGAGTGAAACTGATAGAAGGCTAGAATAATAGCAGGCAGTGGTTGAATTGTTTTCCGTTTTCATCAACAGCAAAGAGACCAAAATATATACAAATATATCAATCCAATCATGTCTTCTTCTACGGCATAGAAAAATTAATGGACAAGGATTATTTATCCTCTCACTTCCAGTGTTCTCTCGTGTCCTTCTATTTTGTGTAATCACGGTTAAGTTACGTTAATATTTTATATTAATTTTTTTATAGAGATAATAAGACAAAATGAATAGTAATATAAAAGGTTGACGTGGCTTAATCGTGACCACACAAACAAAAGGGCATTAGAAATGGAAGGACAGAGAATTCTTGTTCGAAAGTAATCCACCTAAAGTGGGATTTGACCAAACTAATATAAGAAAGTAAATATTCTACAGTAATGATGATATATTACAAGGATTCTACAACATATTACAAGGATATTTCTTAATAGAACTCACCGATTTTTCCATGAGCATGAGTACTAGCTACAAGGTATGTGTTATAGGCGGTGCAGGCTACATTGGTTCTTGGCTTGTCAAGCAGCTTTTAGAAAAAGGATACACTGTCCATGCAACACTCCGCAACTTGGGTATGTGCGCGACGTTTATAATTGTCAGATTATGAATTAGAATCGTTAATTCACACTCATCATAGAACATAATACGTTTCTTGTCTCTCCTGCTTTCTATTTTTTTGTCTCTTAAAATGAATTTTGCTTTTATGAAATATTGACAGATGATGTGACCAAAGTGAGCGTTCTGAAGAGCCTTCCTGATGCTGATGCTAGATTAGTGCTGTTTGAAGCTGACATTTACAGCCCAATTGAGTATGAGAATGCAATTGAAGGCTGTATGTTTGTTTTCCATGTAGCAACTCCCTTACAACACACTGAAAATTCCCAGGTTTCCCCCTTCATGATCTTGATATACAGTCCTATAGTTTAGCACATATTTGATCCGAAACCTATTTTCAAAACGGGTAATTTGCTCGAGATCACAAATATATTTTCAATATTAAGATCGGGTCAGTCAACCTTTTGTGGTATTGACCTTAGCTCTGCTACCCTTACTTGAAGAGAAGAAGGCATCGTTTGGCAGTTTGGACTGTACTGACTATTTCTGTTGAATAGGATAAATAGTTACCGGATAGTACTGACTAAATTAATCGGGCATTTGGTGCAATATCAAACTATAACCGTATTATTCATATTGTATCGAATATAATTATATAATTATCTAAAAACCCAAATACTTTTCAAATCCTAAACTTCAAAATAAAAAGCAAATTAAAAAGCCCCAAATTAAGCAAAATCTAATTTTTTAAAAAAATAAAAAATTGCCCAGATGAAATATTGTTCAACAGTCAGGCTACAGACAACCAAATGAACAAAAATAAACAAATTAAATGTTGAACAAAAATACATAAAAATACCAAAAAATTGCCCAGATGAAATATTGTTCTGCAGGCATGATGGTAACCCGCTTGGCATGGATGGCGCATAGGTTGGTGTCCTCAAATAGACCCACAAGGTAGGCCTCAGCAGCCTCCTACAGTGCCAACACCGCGTGGCTCTGGAAATACAGATCAATTTTGAAATCCTGGGCAATTTCATGAACAAGCCTCTAGAATGGCAATTTCCTGATCAAGAGCTCAGTACTCTTCTGGTACTTTTGGATTTCACGAAGAGAGACAGTACCAGGAGAGCAGCAGTGCGACAGTACTAGGAGAGTAGCGACCGGGAGAACGACGACGACGAGAGGGACGACGGCGAGAAGAGGTGTCGTGGAGAACGAAGTGCGAGAGAGAGGAAAGGTTATACCCGACTAATAATCCACTCCTTTTGGAAAGGTTTATTAAGAAGGTGTATACCCGACTATCCTATCCGGCTAATTAAATTAATCCGACAACTATTTAATACGAGAAGACATCAAATAGCCAGGTTCGTACTATTAGTCCTATCCGATTCCTTATACGACATGCCAAACGAGGACTTTTTATTCATGTATGCTAGAAAATGAAATGACAATGGACTTATGTTAAAGTATGAAACTATTTGTTGATCTAAACCAGCTTTCCTATGTTTCCTATGTTAAAAATTTGATATTTATATATAATGTGATCAAATTACTGCAAAGCAGTACAAGAACATAAAAATTGATATTTATATATGACGTGATCAAATTGCAAAGCAGTACAAGAACATAACTGAGGCTGCCATAGCTGGGGCAAAGAGCATTGCAGAATGTTGTCTTAAATCAGGAACAGTTAAGAGGCTAATCTACACAGCATCCGTGGTGGCTGCATCTCCACTGAAAGAGGATGGGAGTGGCTTTGGAAACGTGGTGGATGAAACCTGTTGGACTCCTCTCAGTCTTTCATTTGCTTGTTCTAATGCTTATCGTAAGGTACATCAATTTCATAGCATTTTCTCTTGGATTTTTCTTACTTTTAGTTTATCATTCTCACGGAGTCGATGTTGGGGAGAGAAGAATTGAATACAGAACCTCAAGTACCGGGTAAATGTTCTTAACCACTTACGTTACAAGCCCTTGCAAATTTCCTAGCTAATCATATATTGCTCCTCTAAACTCAATGTTGTGCCAAATGTTTCTATTCGGACTTTTATGGTCTGCCTTACGCTATCTTTTCAAGTATAATTGCAGGCCTATGTGGATTCAACAACACTTGCAGAGAGAGAAATCTTGAGCTATGGGAACCAAAAAAATGGTGGACTGGAGGTTGTGACTCTGGCCTGTGGCCTTGTTGGGGGTGATGCGCTTCTGCCTTTCAGATCCTCGAGTGTGGCTGTTTTTATTTCTCAGCTTACAAACAGTGCAACCGAGTACCAATTACTCAGATTTCTGGAGGAATTGGTTGGGAAAATTCCCATAGTACACATCGATGATGTGTGTGATGTCCATATCTTCTGCATGGAAAAACCTTCAATAAGTGTTAGATTTTTGTGCGCAAGCTCATACGTTTCATCAGCAGAAATTGCTACTTACTACCAACAAAACTACCCAATATTTCACTAAAAGAGAATTTAAACCACGGATTTCGTTTGCTATTCATCGTCACACATTTTAAAAGTTTTTGGTCAAACAAAATCCATGCTTGTGACGTTGCATTGATCCTGCATCTTTTGTTTATTCTTGCAAAATCCCGACTTTTGTGCCGGGGTAGCCCTTGCCCTTTGATCAATTCAAAATGTATTATATCCTTCAATTATCTAAAAGGAAAACTACTATTTGTCTTCGATCTGATAACACGAAATGTGCTTACAGCGTAAGTCAAGCAGATTAATAAAAGAGAATAAAATAAAATGTGTACACCGTAATTATGTGAGATACTGGGACCTTCAATTTGTTATATAATGGGGTGTTTGATGCAGAATGAAAAAACAACAATTGTAGTCTTGGAAGACTGCAGGTGTGAAACTGATAGAAGGCTAGAATAATAGCAGGCAGTGGTTGAATTGTTTTCCGTTTTCATCAACAGCAAAGAAACCAAAATATATACAAATATATCAATCCAATCATGTCTTCTTCTACGGCATAGAAAAAGTAATGGGCAATGTTTGTCTGTCATTCCACTTCCGGTGTTCTCCGTGCCTTCTTATTTTGTGTGATAACGGTTAAATCACGTCAATATTTTATATTATTTTTTTATAGAGATAATAAGACAAACATGAATAGTAATATAAAATGTTGATATGGCTTAACCGTGACTACACAAATAAAAAGACACTCGAAATAGGAGAGCAGACAATCCTTGTCTAAAAGTAATCCATCTAAAGTGGGATTTGACCAAACTAATATAAGAAAGTAAATATTCTACAGTAATGATGATATATTACAAGGATTCCACAACATATCACAAGGATATTTCTTAATAGAACCCACCGATTTTTCCATGAGCATGAGTACTAGCTACAAGGTATGTGTTATAGGCGGTGCAGGCTACATTGGTTCTTGGCTTGTCAAGCAGCTTTTAGAAAAAGGATACACTGTCCATGCAACACTCCGCAACTTGGGTACGTGCGTGACATTTATAATTGTCAGATTATGAATTAGAATCGTTAATTCACAGTTTTCATAGAACATAATACGTTTCTCGTCTCTCCTGCTTTCTATTTTTGTGTCTCCTAAAATGAATTTTGCTTTTATGAAATATTGACAGATGATGTGACCAAAGTGAGCCTTCTGAAGAGCCTTCCTGATGCTGATGCTAGATTAGTGCTGTTTGAAGCCGACATTTACAACCCAATTGAGTATGAGCATGCAATTGAAGGCTGTGAATTCGTTTTCCATGTAGCAACTCCCTTACAACACAATGAAAATTCCCAGGTTTCCCCCTTCATGATCTTGATATACAGTCCTATAGTTTAGCACATATTTGATCCGAAATCTATTTTCAAAAGGGGTAATTTGCTCGAGATCACAAATATATTTTCAATATTAAGATTGGGTCAATCAACCTTTTGTGGTATTGACCTTAGCTCTGCTACCCTTACTTGAAGAGAAGAAGTGTTTTTATTCATGTATGCTAGAAATGAAATGACCATGGACTTATGTTAAAGTTGAAACTATTTGTTGATCTAAACCAGCTTTCCTATTTTTCCTATGTTAAAAAATTTGATATTTATATATAATGTGATCAAATTACTGCAAAGCAGTACAAGAACATAAAAATTGATATTTATATATGACGTGATCAAATTGCAAAGCAGTACAAGAACATAACTGAGGCTGCCATAGCTGGGGCAAAGAGCATTGCAGAATGTTGTCTTAAATCAGGAACAGTTAAGAGGCTAATCTACACAGCATCCGTGGTGGCTGCATCTCCACTGAAAGAGGATGGGAGTGGCTTTGGAAACGTGGTGGAAGAAACCTGTTGGACTCCTCTCAGTCTTTCATTTGCTTGTTCTAATGCTTATCGTAAGGTACATAAATTTCATAGCATTTTCTCTTGGATTTTTCTTATTTTTAGTTTATCATTCTCACGGAATCGATGTTGGAGAGAGAAGAATTGAATACAGAACCTCAAGTACCGGGGTAAATGCTCTTAACCACTTACGTTGCAAGCCCTTGCAAATTTCCTAGCTAATCATATATTGCTCCTCTAAATTCAATGTTATGCCAAATGTTTCTACTCGGACTTTTATGGTCTGCCTTACGCTATCTTTTAAATTATAATTGCAGGCCTATGTGGATTCAAAAACACTTGCAGAGAGAGAAATCTTGAGCTATGGGAACCAAAAAAATGGTGGACTGGAGGTTGTGACTCTGGCCTGTGGCCTTGTTGGGGGTGATGCACTTCTGCCCTTCACATCCTCGAGCGTGGCTGTTTTTATTTCTCAGCTTACAAACAGTGCAACGGAGTACCAATTACTCAGATTTCTGGAGGAATTGGTTGGGAAAATTCCCATAGTACACATCGATGATGTGTGTGATGCCCATATCTTCTGCATGGAAAAACCTTCAATAAGTGGTAGATTTTTGTGCGCAAGCTCATATGTTTCATCAGCAGAAATTGCTACTTACTTCCAACAAAACTACCCAATATTTCAAGTGAAGCCAGAGTATGTAGCCATCTTTTTTTCCGAAGGTATTTTGTCAAATTTTTTTGAGATTAAATTTCAAGATTAATAGGATTCTGGAATTCGGTTTCAGGTATTTGGATGGACCAAAAAGAGAAATTGTGTGGGGTTCTACAAAGCTTGAAGAGAAGGGTTTTGAATACAAGTACTGCACCAAGATGATATTAGATGATTGCATAAGGTGTGCGAGGAAAAGAGGTGGCACTGACTTCCAATGACTACTGATCCAGGCTTGTAGCTTTTTATGTACACCATCGGAATTGAATTTCGAATAGCAATTTGAATTTACATTTAAACTTCAATTTATATTTGAAATTAGAGACGGTCTTATGATAACACTTGGTAAGAGAAAAATAAAATAAAATTTGGTTTGTGCAAAGTTACATTAATATTTTTTATTTTATTTTGTGATAGAAGATCAAATTATATTTTCACCCACTTTGAATTAACGATTTTTTTTTGGTTGATAGGTAGTTTAAAACTTTAAATTAGTTATGCGAATTTAAACCATATTATTACTAACTTATTATACGTTAATCTTTCGTTAAAAAAATAAAATCTTTAAATTATCCACAGGATCTTCTCCATATCCTTTTGAAGAGGATCCTAAAGATCCAAAAATCTTATCCGTTTATCATACATCGTACGATCAATTTCTATCAAGTACTATTTGTATTTAATTTTAAATAAAAATATTTAATTTCTAACCACACAATATATGATGAACAAATATGATTCACTGATCTTTGAGATTCTTTAAAAAGGATCTGGCAAGGATCCGGATTCTTTAAATTAGTGTGGTCACTTAAATTCAACATTATTTGTTCACCACCTAATTAGTTATACGGGGAAATAGTAGAAAACTAGAAATTGGTACCCGCGTTGCTGCAAGATTAGAAATTATAAGAAAAATTATGCCATAGACGATTAATATTACTTACATTAAAAATGTCAGAAAATTTCAACAAACAAAAGATTTAATTGATACAGTCCACATACAAACAATCGTAGAACTTTTGTCTCTACATAGGAAAAAAATCAGTCATTCACGGAAGCACCTAAGGTTTCCCTCCATTACTCTTGATTGTCAAGAAAACAACCTAGGCAAGGAAAAATACGAAATATTAAAATACATGCAATTAATTTATACATCAACATGTTTATACTATATATATATATATAAAAAAAAAATATGCTTTTATTCCAGTTAGAGAGGACTTTTTTTCAGTGATTTAATTTATGTTATAACTAAACAATCAATCTAAAAACCAAGTTAACACCCATAGAATTATCGCCTGCATTCTCAAAAGGACCTAATTCACTTCTTAATTCTACCTAACATGCATGTATAACACTTCATCTGTAGCTTAAAACAATAGAACAATAATGAAAATGGTAGAAATCAGACATTAATTTTGAAAACCCAAACAAATACAAATTCGAAGACAGGACATTCAAGTAATTGGTAGATTGAAGACTAACCAGGTTGAGAGTGGAGCTTGATCTGTTCACTTCACAAAAAAGTCATAGAAAGTACGACTCTAAATATTCGGGTTAGTCTATGGACAATGAGCATGTAAGGAAAACACTGGCCTATTTTTCAATCGAATAGATATTTATGAAAGAAAAAGAGAATCAGGATGCCTATTCTAATACTCCTAAGCAGTAATTTGGGGATTTTCCCACGACCTACTATAAAAGTAGGATAGCCAAGAAAAACATTAAGCAACAATTATCTTTGTTAACAAAGAACAAGGAAACTTGGACCTTTTCTCTATGTTCCATAAATTTGGAAAAGAATGCAGGGGCATCTGTTTGAAGGATCACATGGCAACACAAAAGAATTACTAAAAACATAAGAAGATTCATGAGATAGCTCAATGCATGGCAACGACATAAATACAGATTTCGGGAAAAAATTGTCTAGTTAAGGAACAATCCCATTAACAACTCAGTCTGAAATGCGTGCCAAGATAGAGACATTACTTAAAGTGATTAGGGATGTCAACCACTTGTGCCGGCAACAAAGGCCAGGGTCAATGAGATAATCAACAATCGTCCCACACTGCAAACAAATAAGTTAAAAACCCTTCAATCTAGCAAGAATTTATATATTACAACTCAATTAAATACACGACATTATTAAGAAAAAATCAGTAAAGAAAAAACCAACATAGTCAAAACTAAATAACTTGGGTAATCACTGAAATTAAAAAGCTTCACAAACGATAAAGACGGGATAGGGGTACAGACCATGAAAAAAATTGGAATTACTGAAATTAAAACCCAAATTCCAGAAAGTCTAAATGTAAATTCACAGAAATCATTCAAACCAACTCCACATCATTCATGATAATTATTCAATAATCCAAGAAATTAAAATTGCTCACCTTGAATAAAAAGGCCCATAATCTTCAAAACCACCGCCTCCGAAACCAAACAAATTGCTTCATCATTCACCTATACCCTCCATGTTATAAATTCGAATAAAAAACCAATGAATAAAAGTTGCTACTAACCAGAGCATCCTTTGATCAAATTAAGAAATTCAAATAAAATTAAACACCAAAATCTGCAAGAATTTTCATCAAAACAAAGAACACTGCTTTTTTAACACCTTCATCAACACTCTCAACAATGTTGTAAAAAAAAATAGTGTCTTTTCATTCCTAGTTGAAATAATTCAGAATTGCAAGAAAGAACAAAAAATTAAGACTGAAAAGCGATAAAAAAATTTAAAAAGAAACGATTCGATAAATTTTGAGAAGCAGTAAAATTACTACACATTATCTCTCAAAACTCTCTCCAAACCAAGAAAACATACCCAACTGTAGTGATTTGAAAACAAATTGCATGATGTGATTCCTGAAATTGGTTCTATAACATATCTTCATGGCTCTTCATGAAAATATATATACCAAAACATCACAAAACCTTAAAATGCCCTCTTTTATCAAAAGAAAAAGAGAAATCATCGTGGCCAAACTGAAAAAAAAAAAAAGAGATTAATTAAAGAAACATCTCTGACAAGCAAAGTAATGTCTAAAACTTGAAAGGTGAGTACAAAAACATACCAAGATAGCTCAGTAGCTTACTAAGAATCATGACAGAGAAAATATGAAGAAAGGCAAGGGTAAGAACAACATTACAGAAAAGGCCACATCTTTTGGTGCATTGAAGGGCAAGGAAATAAGATAGACACAGCGAAACAAAAGATTTGAAATAAATGAATCAAAAATTAATACAACTTCATATAGAGTAACAGTTAAAAAATTTGGAAGACCCCATATATAAATCATTTAGCTATAAACAGTATGCAGAAACATGGGAAAAAAAAACTTAGAGATGCACTAACACCACAATTCTTGATCATTATCCAAAATCCCCAAAGTAAACATACGTTCAAATATACACCTCTCTATTTTTGATCTCTCTCCCTGTTCTTTGGTATTGTGATAAGGTTTATGATAAGCAATGATTTTACCAAAATTTATAATAAAAAACGTCACAGTAGAAGTTTAACATCAGAGAAGGAGTAGATCTCCACCTTTGATGTGAAGATCCTACTATTCCCCTACATACTTGATTCCTTTTAAGGCCACTTGTTGGGAAAAAAAAAACACAATACTTGTAACACTATTTAAACAAAAAGAGATTTCTCAATCAGAGAAAGCTTCGGTTTCATGCAATTTATTTTGTTAGTAATGCAATATTGGAACTTGCATTTGGTTCAAAGAAGTAACGTAAATTGATAAAGCAAAAGGAAACTAAAAACAGAATCTATAGAAATTGGTTTAAAAGCAGCACTCAGTATGGCAATGAAAAATTTATACTGAAATCTCACCTTGTGAGATCATCCTGGTATGTGTTCACTTCCTATTTTTTATCAGACCATTTCTCATTCTGTAGCTCTTGAGTTTAATTTCTCTTTCGACTCACTTATGTAGATCGGTTCAACCTACTTTTGTTTTTCCTAAAAATTTTTCACAGAAATACAAACCAGCGTTAGCGTTAAAAAACCTGCATTGGTTATGCATATTAACAAACTGATAGAAAACTTGTTACATTATATATATATATATATATATATATATATGGAATTGTCATTAGCACTCCAAAAATCTCATTTTGCACTGCAAACTTTCTATAATTAGAAAGAAAAATACACTTGTGAGGAGTGTAGAATGAGATTTTTGGAGTGCTAATAACAATTCCCTATATATATATATATATATATATATCATTAAAGCAGATGAGGGACAGTTAATATCAGCAATAGTACTTGTCATCAACATGAACTTTTCATCCAAAGCGGTATTTAATTTCTTTAATTCTTCATCATCTATGATATAAACAAACAATACATCTCAAAAGAAAGAAAAAAAACAAATACACAAAATGCGGTCAACATTGCTTTATAATTCCTATCAAAAGGGTATGAAAAGTTGGTTGATTTCATTTGTGAACTCAATTAAAAACAAACTTAAACGTTAATTTATGATGAATATGTTTATTTGATGATAAACCCAAAAGCTGATCTGTTTGCTGCTTGGATGTGGCCTGTGGGAGTGTAGTTTGGCTTCTAGCCTGGAGATCTGTGTCACTAATTTCTTTCTCAAGTCTTGCACTCTTTTATTAATAAATTCATTTGATTAAAGCACCTACTTGATCAAGTCTTGAGTCTTGTTTGTATACCTGGTTTTGGTTAATCAGCAGAGGTTGAACTAATGAGTCTAAAGCAGCAAACCACTAACTTAAAATGACAAACCACAATTTCTCTCTCTCTCTCTCTCTCTCTCTCTCTCTCTCCCTCTCCCTCTACATCCATCAGTTGTCAAACCAAACTAATAACCTATTCTCAACTTATCAAATCTAATCAGTGCAGAAAATTATAATCAAAACCAAATAGAAATCTAAACCCAAGCTCTAATTTCAATATAATCGGACAACAAAAAAGCAAATTCAAGTCCAATATAACCAAAAACCAAACAAAACTCTAAATCAGAAGTCTAAAATCCAAAATCCACAGGCTCTGAAGGCTGCAATCAAAAGCCCCAAATCCAAAAAACCACGATTTCCTAAGGCCAAATGCAATACAAAATTATACACCATGATGGGGAATCCGAACCTACAAAAACAAAATCCCCAAAATCACGATACCCGAAATAACGATAACAAAAGCCCCAAATTTTAACAAAAGAAAATTACCCAGATGCACAACCCGAAGAACTCACCAAGAAACCCTAGCTCTTCTACGCAAGAAATTCCTTCAAATCAAACCGAAAACTGAACATGGTTACCTGAATTCAATAAAAATGAAAATACAATCAATTTACTGTTAGCCATCTTTTTTTCACCAATGAAAAAAACTCCAAATCAGCCCAAACAATCCCAAAGTCTAAAAGCCGTTCAAACCAACTTACCATCAAATCAAAGCCACTTCACAAATCCTCTTCAAATCCACACCGAAAATGACGAAAAAGAAGTGGAATGTGCGGAAGAAACAAAAGATCAGCGGAAACAAACTAAGAAAATCAAGTATCAGATAGAAAGAAATGAAAGCCCCAAGAAAATTCGAGAGAACGATAGACGCAAATCAAACTGAAAAAATGAGGACTGAGAGAGGCAAATGGAAAGGCGAAAGAAAATTGGACAGATCGAATCGGAAAGGATGATCGACGCGTGGAAGACAATGGAGGACGCGTGGGCAACTGGTCAAAAGAGAAAAGCAACGGCCGGACCACTTTTATCCTCCCCCTCTTTCTAAGATGAGCAACGCGCGGCACCAGAAATAAAAGGGGGGCAAAATCGTCAACTCACTGCACAATCCAAAAAAACCGAAAAATTACACACCAAGAGAGGGGCAAAACCGGTGAAGCACTGTTAATGAACAATACTTTTCCACCGGGTTTTAGAAGAGTATAATGTAACACGGCTCTTTTGGCATTATTATATTGGAGTGGGGAATAAGTTTATCCACAACGTGGCACTGCGGTGCAATGCACCATTATTCAAGAATTTGGAGTGTTCGGAAATTCCTCACGATGCCGTTTCGATGACGTTACTTCCAATATTTAATATATTGCTGGATAAAAAAAGTAATGTCAAGGAAGTTGAATTATTACTTAAACATTATAAATTATGTTTATTTTTTATTAGTAATAAATCATGTGTTTTTTAAATTTAATTTATAAATTTACTCTTCACTAGTATAAAAAGCACAAGACTAGATATAGCAGTACTTGGGATTTTGCTTAGAATTGCTGATCGAATTCGCAAATGGAGAACACTAGGGTTTGCGTTACTGGAGGCTCAAGCTACCTCGGCTCTTCACTTATCAAAAGGCTCTTGGAGAAAGGATACACCGTCCATGCAACCCTAAGAAATCTGGGTTCTCTCTCTCTCTCTCTCTCTCTCACACACACACACACGCATCAAAAGGCTCTTAGAGAAAGGATACACCGTCCATGCAACCCTAAGAAATCTGGGTTCTCTCTATCTCTCTCTCTCTCTCACACACACACACAAAACTTGCTTAATTAATATTGTGGATAAATATTTTTGCAGGTGATCCATTTAAAGTGGGACTTCTCAAGGGTCTTCCTACTCTTGGTGCAGACAACAGACTGAAATTGTTTCAAGCAGATATATATAATCCTGATGAGTTTGAGACAGCAATTCAAGGGTGCAACTATATTTTTCACTTGGCCACCCCATTGCAGCACGAGCCCAAGGATACTCAGGTCTGTTCTTAGCTTCCTCATCGTCTTGTCTTACTGACTTAAAATATTACAAGAATAGAAAAAGAAAAGAAAAGGGGAGATTTAGATCTGAAATGGTTTGAAAGAATTGTTAATTATTATTATTTCTACTTATCTGATCGAGAAAGTAAATTTTTTTTGTGTGTTGCGAAAAGTTACTGGTTTTTTGTCCTGTGCCTTCCTCACTAGAAAATATTATTTTATGTGTGACAGTAATGTTTTGTGTTAATTATAGATTAGTTTGATATTGATGTGTTTTGAAATAAAACTGTTTTTGCTGTGAAAATAAATTTATTTTTGTTGCTTTACGTTTTCAGTTTTTTTTTTATCCAATATGGTGAAATAATTTTTTTTTAAATGTTTACCAAACAACTTTTTGAACTCAATTTTTTTTATACTCATTTTTATAAAAGCACTTCAATACCAAACCAGTATTATATGTAACAAAATATCCTACCCCTCTATAATGTGACAAAATACACTCTCCTAAGTGACTGAAAATAACGTCAATCTATGCCAATAACAGCGGCTTTTTTATTAAATCCAACCGCTGCAAACTTGAGAGTTTAATAAGTTTCCAAATAACACCTCCAACCTCCAAACAAAATGTCAATTTATAACAGTTAAATTGCAATTAATGACTTATGTGATAATTTGATGTCTTTTGTCAAATTTTATACTTCTCCAACCGAATTATCAAATGTTTTTTTTATTAATATAGAGCTTTAGATTATTGTATTTATTAAAAAAACTATGTTGAAACCAAAATTTTTTGTTGGTTAAATTGTTAGTGGAATAAGGAACACATCATTAAAACTAATTAAAATTAAATTTGATGTTGATGTCAAATCTTACTCATAATCATAAAGGTTTCAAATCTGATCAACAAATAATACTTCGGTTAAAATGATTTTTTATGTCAAACATGCACAATGACATCTCCTCTTAAGACTCGATATCTCCTTGGAGATGCTCTAATGCCACGCTTGTTTATTACTGGACTAGTTCAAAGACACTTCTGAAGCTGCAGTTTCGGGAATTAAGAGCATAGTGAGGTCTTGTATCAAATCAGGCACCATAAAGCGGCTCATTTACACAGCCTCTGTGGTGGCCGCATCACCAATCAAAGACTCTGGAAATGGCTTCAAACAGTTTATGGATGAGTCCTGTTGGACTCCCCTCAATCTTTCATTTGTTGGATAATGGCCAAATTAGTTCCATGTTTTGTGGCTTTTTCAAAGCCATGTTTTGTGGGAGAAGGCTTAGATTAAGAAAAGCATAAAATGGTGAGAGCATTTGGCAAAACAAAGAAACGGATGAAGAGATGTAAAGCATCCAAAAGAGATGGTGTGAGTATTTGGCTCTACCATGGGCATGGGTGAGAGAAATCAAGAGAGCTAGAGTGAAAAGTATTCTAGTGAAAGAACTCTTGGGGTAGAGTGAGGCTCTTGGGAAAATTCTGTGAGTGGGTGTACAAGGGATATGGGATTGGGTTATGTCGATTTAACTCATGTATACTTGTACTGTTATTCTCATAGTGAAGAGCAATATCTCTCCGGGGACGTAGGTAGTTTTTTGCCGAACCTTGTAAATTTCTCTGTGTCTTTATTTCTTGTACTTTATTTTGTTCAACTGTGTGTGATTTTTGGTGAGGTTGTAATCTGAATCTCGGTTCCGCACTAACGAACGGGCCAAGGCACAACAATTGGTATCAGAGCATCGTTGGGGGCTTTGGTTCGTTGGAGGTCCAGATTTGTTGTTCACCATGGAATTTTCAGTTGAGCAGTTGATAGAAGCATATTTATGCGCCTTAGTTAGCTAGTTCTTATGCATTTTTGTTATGTTTTATTCGTTAAAGTAGTCTTTTAAGCTATTTTCATGTGTTTTCAGGTTTAAAGGACATATTACATGAAATGATGCAATTGGGAGCTTTTGGAGCAAAACTGAGCTGGAATGTGGTGTATGCAAATGGAGCACGAGGAATGAACGAGGTTGAAGGTCAAAGGAGCTTAAGAAATGAAGAAATGAAAGTGAAGAGCAAGGAAGTCGGAATTGGTAACCAAAGTTTCTAAAGTTGGAAGTTTCTATTCTTGGAGGTTTCCATTGTCGTGAGTTTCTATTCTTGGCTTTGGGCTTTTAGATGACCTAAACCCTAACCTTAGCCCATTTTAGAGCCATTTCCATGGGCTTTAGCCCAAGTCCTTTCCCTTGCCATGCAAGGGGGGGCATTTTAGGCCCAAATCCATGCATTAAGCCCTTCATCATAATTGGCCCAAATCCATGCATTAAGCCCTTCACCCTAATTGGCCCAAATCCATGCATTAAGCCCTTCACCCTAATTCTTCCTCCTAATTAGTGCATCCCACCATTCCATTCCATAATTTCCATTAGTGCATCCCACCATTCCATTCCATAATTTCCATTAGTGCATCCCACCATTCCATTCACACTTAAATGCCCATTATCCCATTTTTTTTAGCTTTTAATTCCACACCATCCCATTATCCTTTACATCCACTAAACCATGCATCCACATTCACCTAAATAAACCCTAAATTACATCCACTAAACCATCCATCCACCATAATTCCCACCATCCACACCTTTTCCCATCCACCAAATACCTTAAACAAACATCCATTAACACCCATTCTCTTCCTATAAATACCCATTCATTCCATTCACCAAATCATCTCATTTTCCATTGTAATACACAAACACTTCCCCTTCTCCATCTTCTCCATTTCCACTCCATTCCACACTTCCATCCCCCCAACCAACCTATCCTTAAACCTTGTGCTACAACAACGAGGAAGAGAAGAGTGCCTAAACGTTCATACAATTCAAGTTTTGAGTTGTTGGAATGTTTAGGTGTTTCTTTGATTTCAAAGTTTCATTTTAATTCTCTTTGTTTTGTACGTATAAGGAATGGAAGAGAAGAGTGCTTAAACGTTCATACAATTCAAGTTTTGAGTTGTTGGAATGTTTAGGTGTTTCTTTGATTTCAAAGGTATGAGAGGCTAAATCCCCCTAGTTAGCTAGGGGGTGATTCGAAACCATGGTTATACTTGCAATATGAATTGATTACTTTTGGTTGGGATTTCATGAATGTTGGATTCAATTTGTTTAACCGTTTGATTGATAACTTATTTATGAATGTTTATTAAGAATGCGCGCTTAATTTTCATGCATAAATATGACGCTAGAATATAAGTGAATTTCACCTAATCGTTATGAACTTATATTCACAAGTAGTGGAGGTTGCTTATAAACAATCGCGTTAAATGAATTCTTGACACGAGTATCATGCTTTTCATAGTTACAAATGCCTTGTCGATGCTTATAATTTCCAAAGAACGTAATGATTCTAACTTGTATCTTTATCATGCTGTTCATATAGAGAACTTGTTAGGAATAATTTGTTTGCGATGCATATTCATCCAATTCAATGATTCTAGGGAAATTTGAAGGTTAATTTAAGCGGAACTAATTAACTTGAAGTGTCGAGTTCCATAATTTATCGAAAGACCAACTGAGAATCAATTTTGTATGCAAGTATAACATGTGTGGAGATGAACCCCTTGGCTATTCCATCATCCATATTTTCATCTCATTCATATTTACGTTTTGCCTTTAATTACAATTTGTCCATTTAATTTAATATCGTCCAAACACAATCCCCCCTTTACTTTATTGTCAAATTAGTTAGAAATCAATTTAGTTTGTGTTTTTAAAGAATTTTGAGTCTTTTGGTTTGTCTTAATGTTTTAACGTTTAGTTTCACATTCTTTGAGTCTAGTTTAGTGTTTTATATTGTTTTTACGTTTTTGAGTCAAAAATCCAAGTGATTAACAATCCCTCCTAATCCCCGGTCCAGAACGATCCCTACTTATACTTATACTACAATTGTCAAAAAGAGGGTTTAATTTGTGTGCGTATAAATCTCGCACCAAATTTTGGCGCCGTTGCCGGGGATTAGCAACTTTGCTAATCCCTTGGATTGTTTTATTTTCGTTTGTTTTTATTTTTCCAGATTCTTAAATTTGTTTTGTTTCTTCTTTTAGGTACTAGTTCATGACTCGGAGTTCTCATCCGATTCGTGAACATATCCTGGAGTGATTGGGTTATTCGTCCGGCTGCAAGACGTAAAAGAAAGCGCTACTTGGGAGGCAACCCAATACAGTAAATAAAACTTTTGCTTGTTCATTGATTTTTTTCGATAAATTACAATTGTATAAAAACATGGCAGAAAGATGGAGTCTTCACAAAGGTTGTGTACTTGAGGCCCCACTACGTGGCAACACTCTCGGAACAAGAGGTATCGGAGCGGAAGGCATCGGAGCGGGAGGCACCGAAGATAGATCATTCAAGGCCCCAAACCTTGGTGGAACGCTGGATGACCCAGGAAAGAGGTGCCTCTGGAAGAAAGCTGCAAGCTTTTGACGGTCATCAAGCTCATCAAGCTTCCTCTTCATGCCTGACGAATAATTGTTGGCAAGCACGTGCAAACTTCGGTTCTCGTACTTAAGCTGTTTGATCTCCTGCTTAAGACTCTCCACCTCCGCCATCAAGGATTCAACCTGACGGGAGCGAGCAAGAAGGCGTTGGCCCATGTTGGACACAGAGCCAGCGCACTGAACGCTAAGAGCCAGGGACTCTTGAACGGCCAACTCATCGGACCGTCCAGAAAGCAGCTGACTGTCTTTGGGAGTGAGGAGGTTCCGAGCCACTATCGTAGCCGTTGTGGGATCCGTCATCACAGAGTCCTCATCTGTAAGAGGGCCATGGGAAGATAAGAAAGACGGGCACCATACCTTACCCTGACGAGACGCGACCGGATCACTGCTTAGACTCAAATCTAAGCAAAGGTTCGATGGGTTGGATGAGCTAGCCATTGTTCACAAAGTTAAAAGAGAAGGGGTGGACGGAGTAGATTTTCAAACGGGCCGGAGACAATTTCTGGGCAATTTTCAAGTGTGCATGCTAGAAGGTGATCAATCACCTCTATTAAAGGAGAGGCGTTCACCAATTCAGAATGAAGAGACACCACTCTTCTCGTCAGATGCAATCCCAGCTTTTCAGAAGACGCGTGGAAGGCGAGAAATCAGCTGCACACTTTAGCTGACAAATGTGGGAGACAAAGCCAAAAGCTCCCGGCTTTCCAGAAAGCGTGTGCATATTTGTCGAAAACTCCCGACTTTGCAAAAAACGCGTGCCACTTGTCAAAAGATCTCAGACAGAGCCGCATCCGCGCTGCTACGTGTCGTTCAGAAAGCGAAGGGCATCGTTCAGAAATCGAAGGGGCGACTGCTCAGAAATCGAAGAGGCAAATTCAGAAATCGAAGAGTCGCCACTATTTCAAAAAGCCGGATTTGCGGGATCAAAACGTTTGTCGACAACGGTAAAAGAACAGTACCACCACTTGCTATTTAATTCCCTATATATGTCGACCTTCATTTTTTGGCAAAACAGAACTGAAGAAAATGCCCAACTCTTTCTCACCTCTGAGGGTGCACTCCCAGCAAAGCCTTTCAAAATACTCCATTCTTTCTTCTTCCCCAAAGATGATACCAGATGCCTGGAGTACAGATGACCCAGGAGGAAACAGCACCACAAATACATGTGCTGATTCATTCACCGCTTCTTCAAAAGCAAAGGTATCTCATATCATCAAGGGCAAAAGCAAAGGTATCTCATATCATGCTCTTTCCCTGTCTTTTCCTTTGTCCTTGATATTACTTGCATGGCAAAGTGAAAGAAGCAATCAGCCGGCACTTGGAGTCTATCTGGACTCTATTCCCTGGTTGCTTACCTAGCTTTGCTGAGCTATCCTCTAACCCTCTTCAATACGAATTGGAGAGATTGAACAAAGAAACAGATAAAAGGAGGAAGCTCAAACCTTCGGGGGAGACCAAAGGAAGCCTGCGGCCCAGTTCAAGAGTAGCACAAAGGAAAATCAACGATGGGAGCAGCGCATTTCAAGAGTAAGCCTGTGGAATCACTCAAGATGAAGCCTCACTGCAATCACCAAGGAGAAGATGGAATTTACACTCCATAACCAGATTTGCATCTCTAAAACTCTTCTCTTTGATATATACATTCTGCCATGTTTAGTATGTTTAGTATGTTTAGTTGTTGTTTTATATGTTTTCTTTTGTTTGGTGTGTTTTAAGCTTAAAACATTGAGG